TGTGCTCCACAAGAGAAGCCACCACAGTGGGAAGCTTGCACACTGCAATAAAGAGTAGGCCCCGCTCGCTGCAACTAGAGAAAGTCCACCAGAGCAACTAAAACCCGCTGCAGCCAAAAATAAGTAAATAGAATTATTTTTAAAAATAAGAATATATTAAAAATTGCTAATAACATGGTCATGATGTTAACTTCAAATATATACATATTATAATTACATACTCAAATGAATAGAAAACTTAAAACCTGAACACAAATGTTTAAAGCAGCTTTATTCATAATTGCCAAAATTTGAAAAAGCAACCCAGATGTCTGTTAGTAGGTGAATGTTTAAATTATGATACATCTGGACGATGCAACACTGCTGCTGCTGCTGCTGCTAAGTCGCTTCAGTTGTGTCCGACTCTGTGCGACCCCATAGACAGCAGCCCAACAGGCTCCACCGTCCCTGGGATGCAACACTAGTCAGTGCTAAAAAGACACCGTCAAGCCACTAAAAGACAATGAGGAACCTTAAATGCATATTACTAAGTGAAAGGAACCAACCTGAAAAGAACACTGTGTCCCATAGGACTCCCAACTACATGGCATTCTGGAAAGGGCAAAACTATGGAAACAGTAAAAAGATCTGTGGTTGCCAGGAGTTATAAAGGGGAGGGAGGGATGAATCTGCAAGAACAGAGGATTTTTAGCATGGTGAGTACTCTGTATGCTATGTGATAGACCAGATTGTAATAGCTATGATAATAGTTCATAGATAGTAACAAACCACCTGCTCCGGTGTGGGATGTTGATGCTGGGGTTGGCTGTGCATGTATGGGGCCAGAGGGTATATGGGAACTCTGTGTACTTTCTGCTCAATTTTGCTGTGAACCTAACTGCCCTTAAAAAGTCTGTTGGGGAAAAAAAAAAGCTTCAGGCTCAAAACTTGCCTGAGTTGTTCAAGCTTTATAGAAAAACACAACCTTCATGGTCATTTTTTATTCAACTGCTTAGACATGTAAATGATTAATGACTACAGTGACTTTCCTTTGGTGAAACATGGCTTCATTGCAACCAATGAACCACCAAATCAACTGTTTTACAAATGAAGCTGTAGCAACACATTCCTGTGTCAGGATAACGAGAAAAGGGTTATTATAGGGTCAGCATTACATTCAAACTTAGCTGAGCCTCTCAATACCTCTGATTCCTTGGACCACTCAACCTCTTTGAACTGCAATTTCTTATTTGTAAAATGAGACTGTTACCTTAAAAATGGTTATTATCTAAAAATACCTGGTCCAAATAATGTCACAGGAAAAATAAAACAATTTTGTTTTCATGAAGAAAAATTATATGCATGAATCTCAACTAAGTTCAAAATGTTAACGATGTTTTGGTGGTAGTATTATAGATAATTTTGTTATTCAAATTTTTTACCTCCTAAACTTGCCATAATAAACATGCATTATTTATATTTAAGAAATAAACATATTTTCTTCTGGCCATCCCATGTGGTATGTGGAACTTGTCCAACCAGGCATTGAACCCGTGCCCCCTGCGCTGGAAGCACAGAATCTTAACCACTGGATTACCAGGTTAAGTCCTAGAAATAAACACATTAAAAAAAAAAAATCACAGCACAAAAACTGTAGAAAAGAATATTTTATTGAAACAGTTTCTCAATTAACAATGGAGCAAAGTACAATTTGACTCAAGATCTGTCCAACCAGCCTCAACTGCTAGTGAAACAATTCAAACATATAGGACAGGATAGGACCCTCAGGGCACATTTCTGCCAATGTGGCAAAAAAAAAAGAAAAAAAAGACAAGAGACAGACACAACCAGGCTCCCCCATGCCCTGGGAGTGGGGGGGGCAGCCCTGGCTCCTGCTACAGATGGGACCCTGGGGGGTGGGCTGCCCAACATCAACGTGGTGGGTAAAGGGCCCCCATCCCAGCAGAGCAATGCACTACAGAAGGGCCAGCCTGTACCCTCTTCCTTTGCCCACAAGGCCTGCCTCCAAGAGAGCGAGGTGGCAGTTCTACATTCTTGCCACAGTCTCTCCTGCCCCCAGGGTCTTGGGACAAGGGGCTCACAGTAGAAAGCACGTTTTGGTCAGCCCAGGGGGCCCGGGGGTGAGGGAAAGGCTTTGAGAGGGCAGAACAATAGGGAGAGAAGTGGGGCAGAAGTCCAAGGGCCATGGAGTACCAGGCTACCAGGAAGATGCAGATTTCAACAGCTGCTTGCAGGATGCTGGCACCCTGCGCCAGCCACTCCACACACCTTTCCTGGCACAGAGTCCACAGGTGGGGGAGCTACAGAGCTCTTACACATCTCACTCCCTGGAGAGGCGGCTGGATTCCCTTCTTCACTTTCTCCCTGTCTACTCTGGCCACTGGGGTTGTACGTGTGGGTGGGGGTCGATCTCGAGTGACTTAGGCAGTCCAGATGGACAGGCTCTGGCCAAAAGGCAGAGGACTGTCCAACTGGCAAGAGGAAGACAAGGAGACTCACAGGGAAGAGGCAGGGAATGGGGATTTTTAGAGGCAAAAAACCTTGGAGGAGGCAAAAGTACAGACAGGAGCTCAGAAACCAAACCTGGAAACCAACGTTCTGCAGACACTGGCCTGTGTGGCATTGATCTTGTGGTGGAAAATGGAGGGAAGGACAACCAGAAAAGACTGGAGACCCTCTAACCCAGGACACCCTTCCCACTACCAGGTCTGTCAACCAACTACTGATGGTCATGCTCTCACCTACCCGCAGGCAAAGAATTAAGACACAATAGTGATTTTTCCCAAACGAGGACCTGGATGGGTAGGGAACCAGCGGGTGGGGTTGGGGAACAGAACGATTTCAGTTTGAACCACAGAACTATTCCAGAAGGAACCAGTAAGCCGTCCCTTCCTTCCCCTTCTCTGCACCTCCAGTCACAGGTGAGAGAAGAGGAACTGAAGCCTCTGGGGTGGGGGGAACCAACCCTCCCCCAGTCCTTGGTGTTTAATAAATAGAGGTGGTGAGAGAAGGGGGCAGGGACGAGTGGGGAACTGGGAGGCGGGGGTTATAGTTCATCATTCTTCAAAGTTCGCTTCTGTCCTGTCAGTTGTTCTGGGTGTTCCTTCTGTTCGGATTCTGGGAGGAATCGGGGGAAGAGAGCAAAGGGTGGAGGGAGGTGAGACGGAGGGAACAGGACCAGCTCAGGGCAGGCATTGCCCCCCAGCAGAGCCCGCCACCTCCACCCTCACCTGCTGCAGGACCCCCTAATTCCAGAGGCTCAGAGTCTGCTGCTTCAGATCCTGCTTTGTGGAAAGAACATGTTAGTGTTTGCAAGAGGGAAGAAGGGGCTGATGGAGAGGTTGGCAAACTTTTTCCGACAAGAGCCAGACAGTAAATATCAGTATTTTAGGATCTGTGGGCCACACCTGGTCTATTCTGTTTTTGGAAACAACCATCTACAAAATGTAAAGGCCATTCAAAGCTCCAGGGCTGTCCAGAGAAAGGCTGTCCTGCCAGTCTGCCAACCCCTCGGGGCTAAATGACGTCCACGCTTCCCGTCCGCTTCCCCGGCTCACCAGCCGCCTCCTCGGGTTCTGGGATGGGCTTCGTGTCTTCAGTCTGGCCTGGAGGGAAACCAGGAGGAACAGGTAGTCCCCGGAGGGAAGGGAAAGATTCCTCCTGCCCAGCGATGCCTGAACCAGTCCCCGGTCCTCACCTGGTGGAGGGATGACCTTCTCGCTCTGGTCACTGGCACTGGCATTGAGGGGAGCCTCTGCCCGGGTCCCGTTCTTGTCCCGGGGCCGGGGCCGGGGCTTGGCGAACTTGGCCTTATTGAGCAGATACTGCACCTCACGGTCCAGGGCCGCCATCTTGGCCTCGATGTCTTTCGAGAGCAACACGGGCTTCTCTGTGGCGGGAAGCTTGGCCTGCTCGGCCACGGTTGTGTTCTTCCAGGCCTGTGGGCGAGGTCAGGACAGGCTTGGAGCCAGCAGATGCCTCTGTCCCAGACGAAATACACCCCAACCAACCTCTGGCTCTTCCCCTCAGACCTCAAATCACTGCCCGTCACTGTCAGCCCCAGAAGCAGATACATACCTCGAGGCTCTCCACAAGGGAGTGCCAAACTGCCCATTTCTGGCTTCCATCCTATTTCTATGGACTAACCACAGCTGAACCTCTTGATTTTCTCCTTATTTCAATCGCTTTGGTGCTCTGGTTCAAAAAACAGCCCCCACATCCAGAACGGCTTCTGCATCTCACAACAAGTCATTCTCACCTCCCCAAACCCTGACCCAATTTCTGCATTCAGTTCAAGCCCCAGATCCTCAGAGCAGCTCTCTCTGACCCCGCAGGGATGGGCTCCTCTACCCCTCTAGTCGAGGACATGTGGCTGTGACCCTGGTCTGGAACTGATCAGACGTGATCTCAAACGCAGCCATCTTTTGCGTTTCCAATGAGCTGCCAAGCCAGGAGGCAGAGACTGCCAAGTCTCCATTTCTCCGCATCTCCCTCACTGCCAAGGATGGCACACCTTGCCAGATAAGTCTCCAGTTAAGTATTTATACAGGGATTACCCAGGTCTCATTGATGATTTTCTCTAACGTTGTCATCTCCACTTCAGTGAAGATCTGGTCCATCTCTGGGATGAGCCGGGCACCCCTGCAGTCAGAGGGGAGACAGTCAGCCTAGGAGAGACAGGGGCGGGACTGAGTGGGGAAGAAGAGCACAGGGGCCACTCACTTGAGGAACATGCTGGAATGATTGAGGAGATTATCCAGGGCAGACAGCCGTTCGGGCCACTTCTTGCGCTCTTCCACCCGAAAAAACAGCCCGTGGCACAGCTTCCGTAGCTCAGCCAGCTTCTCCTTCAACATCTGATGGGTGTGGGGGTGGGAGAGAGCAGAGGGGTTAGGGGATGACCGCCCTGCATCCTTCTTTATGACCTCACACTCCAGCTCTCTTCTCTTTCCCCATCCTGCCTGCCGCGCCCGGGGAGCCCTCTCACCGCTGTGGTGGCCCCAAAGCCCTCATCCTCCAGCCAAGTGGACGCGGTGCTGAGCTTCCCAGAGATGTCCTCGCGCTGCTCCTCGGTCGACACTTCCTGGTACTCAGGCTGGTACAGCTTATCCTGGGGAGGTGCGCCAGAGCACTAGCGTGCAGCAGACCCTCGGGGCAAGGCTCTTGGGGCAGGACCCTCCTCCCCAACCCCGTCCCTCGTCCTGAGGCAGGCCTGTGTCCCAACCCACCAACCTGGGTCTCAAAGATGAAGGCTTCCAAGCTGTTGGCTGCTTTCTCCCGTTCCTGCTTCTGCAGGTCCCGGAGTGTCAGGTCTTGGAGTCTGTGGCCGAGGGGCAGCAGGTGTAAGGGGTGCCGCTCCACAACCTGTGCCCACCGTCTGCACGCTCGCAGCCTTTACTCACTTCTGGGCCGAGCGGGCCAGCTGGTCCTCAGGCAAGTCAGGCAGGTCCAGGATGACCAGCTCCACCCCGATCTCCTCCACCATCCTCTGCTTCCGGGCTGGTTTCTGCTTCTTTTCTTCCTCCGGGGCTGGAGGAGCACCCTCAGACCCCGCCTCCCCCTTCTCGCTTGGCTTCTGTGGGGAGAGACGAGGGTGTTAGGAAAGCATCAGCCCTCCTGTCCTGCACAGGAGGGGATGGCTCTGGGTCCAGGCCGACTTCTCTCTGCTCACCTGTGCCTCGGGCTTGTCCCCGCCGTCTTTCTCTGTGGCCTTTTCTCCCTCAGGGGCTGCAGCCCCCTTAGCCTCAGGGGGTGGGGGCGAAGCGGTGTCCTCTGCTGGGGCCTCAGCTTCCTCCTTGAGCTCTGCTTGCTCTCCAGGCTCGTCCTTGCTCCCCTCAGCAGGCCCTTCCTCCTCCTCCTGGAAACAAGCAGACACAACCTCTGAAGAGTCACCAGCAAGGCCCGTGGATCAGGACTGGCTCCGCTTTGAAGGGCTCATTGCCCATGACACAGCTTAGGGGGAGACAGAGGACCACTGTGTGGAAATGGGCAACGGGTGTCTGGACTGAGGCAGTCTAGCTGGACAAAGGAAGTGTCTGGAGGTGACAGTGAGCCTTGGGATGGCTCAGAGTCCAGAGAAGGGTGTGGTGAACCCGGCTCAGGCTAAGAGGAAGGAAAGAAAGTCACTCAGTCGTGTCCAACTCTTTGCAACCCCATAGACTGTAGAAACCAGGCTCCTCTGCCCATGGAATTCTTCAGGCAAGAATACTGGAGTGGGCAGCCATTCCCTTCTCCAAAGGCTAGAAGGAGGCGGGGCCTATCACATCCTGAGAAGCTGGGGTCGACACCCCAAACCATGCTGCTGCCTGGTCCCATGCACTGTCCTCCGTGCTCCCTGGCTCCATCCTGGCCTTACCTGGACTGTGTCAGTACCATTTTCTTTAGTATCTGGTGTGCTGCCACCTCCAAACAGGCTGGAGATGGTGTTGCCAAGTTCTAGAAAGAGAAAAACCCAAAGACTTAAAGAGCACCACAGAAGGGACTCCACCTCCAACCCTAAGGGTAAGGCCTGCCCACCTCCCTGGAAGACACACAAGGACACTCTCACACATGTGCACACGCTCATCTTACTGGTCAGAGTAGATTCCTCTTCTGGGCTGTCCTCCACCAGCGTCTCAAACACAGACTCCACCTGAAAACAGGGATCCGAGGTGAAGACAAGCACATGCTAACCCACCTTTTCTCCACAAACATCCTGCCTCGTGGGTTACTGTTCAGGCACAACCCTGTGCACAACTTCCAGCTGTGCTAGCCGGTCCTCTCCCCCGCCTCCTTCAAGGGTTCCTGGATGGAGTCTCCTCCACCCCTGTTGATTAAAAGCCCTCTGAGGAGGGGACTGGAGCTCCCCCCTCCTCACCATCACACTCCTCCACTCAACAGAATGGGCCATTGTTGCCCACAGTATGTTCTAAAAGATACAAATACCCTCAGCTGTTGTTAATAAGCAGGTTTCTCAGCCATCCTAGACCCTGAAAATTACAACGTCCGGGAGCATTCACAGGCTCTGAGATGGCCCACACCAGATCCCTTGTTTAGCCCAAGCTTTATCCAACTCCCAAACCCATTTTATTGACCACGGTATAGCATTTTATTAACCATGTTCGAATACCACAAGGAACCACTGTGGAAGAGGCTGGTGGCGCCTGGGCCCCCCCGGCACACGGGGGCTCCTGCTCTCACCCTGTCCAGGCTGAGCACGCCGCTCTCGTCCAGGTTGAAGTGAGCCTTGATGCCCTTGGACTCGTAGTCAGGATACTTCTTGAAGCTCTCACCCACACCTTTTAGCTTCACCGTGGTCAGATTCTGGGAGCCAAATACCCTGGGTGGGGAGGAGAAAGCCGTTCAGGGGAGCCCCCCACAAGCCTGCCTCCAAGCTCTAGTCTACACAGCCTCTGGGTATAAGACACAGGGCCTCCCCCAGGACACCCTTGGGATGGAAGCACCTCCCAGAGAAGCAGCTCAGCCCAAACCCAAGCCCAAGCTCACAGGCTGCTTCCCCTGTGTCACCCGCAGACCCCACGCCCTCCCTCCGTGGAGTCCCCAGCTGGCCCCACCCCCTCACCGAAGATCCTCAGGCCCTAGGAAGCCCAGGTCACCATAGTTGATGTGGAAGTTGAAGTCATGGCTGTAGCGGTTAAAGGTGATGACTTTGCGTTGAGGGTATGGTCCCATGCGGGAGAAGAGGACGCGCTTATTGTGCTTCAGGCTGCGGACCCCAGTCTCCTCCTCCACCTCCCTCGTGAACTCCACCTACATGGCAGGAGAGGGGAGACCCGCTGGAGAAGCAGAGCAGGGACTGGGGGAAGAGGGGTGGGGAATGCCAATGGCAGGAAGACAGAGGGACAGGCTCGAGCACACAGTGGAGATGGCCCTGGGAGAGGTATCGGGAGCCCACCACCCCAGCACACAGGCTTACTCACCAGGATGGGGTAGATCACCGCATCCCGGACGACAAAAGGCTTCACCTTGAAGGCTTTGCTGAGCGCGGCCGCCTGGTACACGGCCCCCATGGCGGCGGCTTCATCAGCATTGATGTTCTTCCCCAGCTCCTCCCTGTGAATGTCCCAAGGCTCAGGACCGTCCATCTGCAGCCTGGCCTGGCCCCCCTCCCCTCAGCCCTCCTGCTGCTCAGGCCCCACACTCACTTGCCCACAGCCTTCAGCAGCACCTCCTGCACTTTGGGGACGCGAGTGGCCCCGCCCACCAGGATCACCTGCTCAATCTCATCCTGCACGGGGAGAAAGCAGGGGATGGGTCAGCTCCGAGGTCACCCTGCTCCTCAGCACAGCCTCTTCCCTCCTCTCTGCCACCTCTTCACTTTCCATCCCGCCTGTCTCCCCACCACGCCCATCTCAATGACCCTGCCTCACCAGTTTCATCTCTGCACTCTGCAGCGCCTGCTGCACGGGCCCAGGGACCCGCTCAAACAAGTCTGCACACAACTCTTCAAACTCCGCTCGAGTCACCTTTGCCTTGAAATCCACATCGTCCATCAGGCCCTCGATCTGGGAAAGGAACAGGAAGGTCAGGGCACTCACCCGGGTCCTGCTCTCTGGGTGGGGGAGTCAGACACCAAGAGAAAAGGATGCTGGGAGGCAGGCAGGAAGCACGTGAACAAGGGATGGGCCACCCGGATCGACCTCAGGGTGGCGGGGTCCTCCACCCTCTGGGGTAGGGGAGGCGGCAATCTTTGCCCTCAAGAGCCACATGTGAGCACCTGGGCCACGTGGTCGGCATTGGCGCTCAGAACGGTCTTCAGCCGATTGGCCTCACGCAGCAGCTTGGCCATGGCACGAGGGTTCTCCCGCACATCCTTCGCTCTCTGACCCCTGCGCTGCTCATTGAAGAGCCCGGCCAGGTGCTCACGCAGGCGGAGCTCCATCTCCAGGCCCCCCAGGGTACGGTCAAACCTGTGTAGGAAAGGGAAGAGGGAAAAGTGTGAGGAACACACGGGGTCCCTTCATCCACCCAAGAACTTGGCTCTCACCCCCACGGCTAACACCTCTCAGCGATAGTCCAACTGGCCATTTATTCAACTGTAACTACTAGGCACCAAATTACGTATTTGTCTCTGGAAATACAACTGTAATAAGGGAGAAAAAAAAAAGACACGGTCCCTGCTATCAAACAGTTTATAATTGAGCAATCAACCACACTGTGAAATTTTAGCAATCCTCTGTGTTATAACAGAGAAACAGATGATGCCACTATAACATAAATAAGTGAAATTTCAGCTATTTAGAGATGTCTGGAAAAGTTCTGTGAAGAAGCGATGCTGGAGCTGAAACTTGAAGATGAGCTGGAGTTAACGAGGTGAAGAAGAGAGAAAAGAACATTCTAGGCAGATGGTGAGGTGTGAGAGAACAAGAGTGTGTAAGTTCAATGGAGGGCAAAGACGGCTGGAGCTCAGGGTCAGAGCCAAGCTGGAGTTGTCAGGGCACATACAGGTGGCTTTATAGGCCAAGACCAAGGTGTGGAGCCACTGAAGGGTTTCTAAAGAAACGAGATTAAAAAAACAACAACAAAACACGGGATACAGACAGGTTTGAAAAGAACCCTCTGGCTGAAATGTGGAGAAAGAACTGGAGGGAGGCCACACTGGCAGCAGTGAGATACGTTATTCTGCAGGTGAGAGGTGACGGCAGTTTGGACTAATGTGGAAGCGGTAAAAGTGGACAGAAAAGAACACGTTCATGAAATAACATAACATTAACAATAAGTAAACCAAAGGTGCCAAGAACAAAAAAATAGTTGAAGTTGACACTCCTCATGTGGCCTATGGCCTTGTGGATTTCCTCAAAAGCAGCTTGGGACATTCATTGCCCTTCAACATTCCCAAACTATCTCCCCACATCTCCATCTACCCCATGCTCTTTGGGAAAGGTATCCTACAAAGATTGATGCTTTAGCCAGGAGAGTATTCCTTCAGGGAGCAGGAAAGTGAGGCCGCTGACCCTCCAAGAAGAAACTGGGACCCCAGGGTATCTCAGCAAGCAGCCCTCCTCACAGCACCCACTTACCCCACACCCCGGATCTGCAGCTGTGGCTGCATCCCCGCATCCTTAGTCTTCACCGTCTGGTAGGTCACGATGGTGCACACGGTGCTGCCTGAGCCCATGTCATAGAACATGATATTCTGCAGAGACATCAAGGCCACTGTCACCAGAACCTAACCCAACTCCAGGGTGCCTGCCTGCCTGCCTCCAAGGGGCTGCACTGACTCAAACGAAAATCAAACAACTCCAAAAGGGGATGAGAGGGGGCTGTTGCTGCATTTGTCAAAGGCCAGCATGCAAATAAGATGCAAAACAAGCCAAGTGGCTTCCATCATCAGACTCAGCCACCCTGCCAGGCCAGTCGGTAGCTCCTTCCTGGCTCACCTGGGCAGTGCTGTTGATATCTTTCCGGCGGAAGACACCATAGCTGAGGGCGGTGGCGGTGTTGTCATTGATGAGCTGCAGCACCTTGAGGCCAGCCATTCGCGCAGCCTGCAGCACAGCTCGGCGCTCAGCCTGATTGAAGAAGGCTGGCACGGTGATCACTGCATCCTTGATGGGCTGCTCTGCAGGGGACAACAGAATAGGGTTCCCACCAGCTCCACACCTTAGATGGGGGGTTCTCAGTCTCAGCACTGTTGACATTTTGGGCTAGATGTTTTTTTTTCTTGGCCACACCACATGGCATGTGGGATCTTTGTTTCCCAACCAGGGACTGAATCTGTGTCCCCTGCAATGGAAGCTCAGGGTCTTAACCACTAAACCACCAGGCAAGTTCCTGGGCCAGATAATTCTTTGTTTTGGGGGGCAGAGGTGTGCAGTCTAAGATGACGGGCAGCACCCTTGGCTTCTACTCGGTAGATGGCAGTGGCTGCAGCTCCCCAGTTGTGACAACAAAAAATGTCATCAGATATTACTAAATGTTCCTGGGGACTCAGAACTGCCTTCATTTGTCTCCAGGGAATGTGGCTGCCACTGGTCCCACCTTGGCCACCCACCTGCAAAATCTTCAGCCAGAGACCGGGAGTAGTTGAGAAGCATGCTGAGGACCTCCTCCGGTGAGAACTGTAGCTGCCTGGGGGAGGGGGATGGTTAGTGGCGAGGAAAGCCCAGCATCCACTCAAGGACAGTGGTGAGCACATGTTGACAGGGATCCCACCAGGCCCCCTGAGCCCACCTTCCCCAGCAGGGCACTCACGGGCTGATTTGGAAGTACACAGTCTGCCTCTGTGGGTCGAAGCCCAGCTCATGCTCGGGGAAACGAGCTTTGTAAAGGGCTACATGGGGGTTATTCTCCTGCTTCCCCAGGAGGTGCTGGAAGTAACGCAGCGTAGCCTTTGGGTTCTTGATGGCCTGAGAAGAGGTAAAGAAAGAGCAGAATGTTAAGATTCCCAAACCCGCCATCACCTACCTATCTCGGAGACTGACCAGGGAGCAAGACTCTGGAGGCTGTCATAGCCTCTCCTCTGCCCACTGCTTCTGGGAAGGGGGTGGGCTGCGAGCTCACCATGCTGGCCGCACTGTCGCCAAAGAATCTTTCATTTTCTTTCAGGGTCACCGTCACTGGGGTTTTCCTCCGGGACTCCCTGAAGAAAAGACACACTGGGGCCACGTGCCTACAGCACGGTGTGTTCTCAGGAGACTCAACACTCCCACATACATACAACACCCGACAATCATGCAAACACAAAGTCTGTTGAGGGCACTACCAAGACCACATTTGGGCCTCAGGTGCGGACCCTCGCCCTCACTTGTTCAAGACAATCTCCATGGGTACTCCAGGTTTGACGATGGCCACCTTCATAGACTCGCTGCCCAGGTCCACAGACATCACTGCCAGTGTGTCTGAAGGGGAAACAGATCTATCAATTAGCCTCTTTCCCCGCCTTCCTGAGGCCCCGCTAATCAAAGCACACCGCTTTCCGTGGAGAAGGTGACAGCAGCAGACAGACAAAAATATCTGGGTCTGGGAACCTAAGAGCCGAGAGGTTTCCCATTCACCAGCTTCATAACCCCTGCCCGCCACATGTCATCCATCATTCACTCATTTATATTTCTTTTGACGCCTCTGCTGGGGTACATACCACTCAGTGCCAACAGGTCTGCCAAGAGCACAGTCATCAAGGCCCAACAGGCTAGCCTCCTCGGCCTCTGCCTTCTGACTGTGGCTACCATTGTGTCCCTAGGAGAGAAGAAAAACAACACTTGTAACTGGATGCCCTGAGTGAAGGAGGCAGAACGTCATCCACAACAGAGAAGCTTTAAAATTCATACCTACTTCATCCTCACTCAGGGCAGGACAGGCTACATCCTACCCCTCCTCTCCCTTCTAATGAGAACCAAGCACTCTCACCACCTTCAGAAGTGACCACAGGAAAGCCCAGGTGAACCACCGGGGATTCAAGCCTTTGGCCACCACATCCCTAAACAGTGATGGTAACAGGCCAGGAGGAAGGAGACCAAGGCCTTCCGGCCACTGCATAGGCAGCTCTACGGGCGCACCCCAGCACTGTCCCTGCCGTCACACACCTGGGGTGCCGGCAGGGATCCCCGCTCAGGGCTAGACTACCTCCCTACAACCTGGAGCTCCCCCGCTGGCGGGGAAAGCCTGGCCGGGAACTGAGAGATGGTGACGCTGGAGGAGGCAGGGATGGAAAAAGGGCACGTCTCGTTCTAAGCATCCCTTCGGGTTGTCCCTCCCGCTCCCCTTCTCCATCCCATCTTCGGCCCCGCTGCCTACACAGACGCTGTGCCTGGAACGATAAGGTTCCGCGTCGAGAAGACAGCGAGTATTCCGAGTTCACCTAAGCCTCACCTCCCAAAGGCGGCGGCGGCTCCCACTCCCGGAAACGGGTGCCAGCCCACCTCTAAGGCATGAAGGCACCCTGGGGACCGAGCTGCGGGGCTAAGCGTACCGGCGTCCGTGCGGCCCTCACTCCCTCTACTGACCCGCCCCCGGAGCTAGCACGTTGCCTCCTCTAAGGGTGGCCGGTTCCCATCGCCATCCCCACCCCCGCTACCTCTCGCCTCCGCTCCCGTGGCCCCAGCTCTGGGACAAACGCAGCGCCAGACGAAACCACGAGGCTAGCAGCGCGGCCCCCAAACCCGCGCCCTCCACAACTCCCCTCGGCTTGCAAACTGTTACATTAGCCACCAACCTCTCGGCGGCGTCTCGCGCACCAGCCGGCCCCGGACGCGGCGTGCGCTCATTGGCGCCTCCGCCGCCCGGCCCTGCGCCGCGGGACTGGCCCCGCCCCTCGCCGCCGCGGCGCGCGTCCCCATTGGGCCACGTCCTAGGCCCGCCCCCTCCCCCGTCTCCGGCCACCGCAGCGGAGGCGAAGGAGAAGCCAGTCAACCAGTTGTAGGAAAACCGCCGATGCCCGCTGCCGATTGGTCTACGTCACGCGCGGCCCAGCGTCCATCCCGGTGTGCTCGAGGGACCTTTAAGGCCGCGGCGCTGAAGGTCTGATTGACCGGGTCTGGAGTGGCCGGTGCCTGGAGCGAGTTGGCAAACGGGCAGTCCAGCACTCGGGCCTCCTTTTCTGGTCATCTGGGAGCCCGGTCCGGGGAGCAGGCATCCTTGCATCCCTGAGGCAGCCACGCGGAAGAGGTGCTAGCTTGCTGGTCGGTATTGAACTGCCCTAGGCTTTGGCTGGAAATCAGAGAACGACTGCTTAGTCCATCTCAACCCCCGCTTTGTTTCTTTGCGGAAACTTAAAGCCACCAAGAGAGGTGTTCGCTGATGAGTCGGAGATAACGCTTGTATTAGTGGCATAAGTTGGCCTGGGCTCTTTACTCCAGTTTGAGAAAGAACATTCCGAACTGCAAATCCCTGACACAAAAGACGCTTTTGTGAGGCTGTAATTGGTTAAGCACAGATGCACCACCTCCTGTTTCTTTTCCTTTATGCCTGTTCACTTTCTTTCTGAATGAGAGCACCTCGGAAAGGTATCTGATGCTCCTAACTCCCCTCTCTCTGTACTTCACAATCCCATAGAACTCTGCATGGTCCTGAGACAAAACACTTTCTTTTCCCAGTTTTATTGACATCAGCGCACTTTTCTTAAATATGGTATCACTGCTTCCTCTCATGAAATCGTTGCCTGACCTCGCTTTACAGAAGGTTCTTCTGAAGGCCTTGCCTATGACAGCCCGGGCTTGGTTAAGGAAATCTTATTTGGTCCTTTCCCTACATTTTTAAATAACGCTTAGGGCTGTTACAGAATCCAAGCTCTGTCTACTCGCCAATAGCTGGACGACAAGGTGTTGAGGCAAAGACTAGAGACTTTATTTGGAAAACCTGGCAATCAAGTAGATGGCAGGCTAGCACCCTAGAGTACCATCTGATTGGGGTCTGGTTATCAGTTTCTTTTATAGAACAGAGAAGGAGGTGGTGAGGAAGTAAAGTAAAAAGGTCATAAATCCTGCAAAATAAGCATCAGGGAAGGGATGTGTTAATTTCTTCTTTTCTGTAACCATTCACAGGTGGGCAGGGTCAGAGTGTATCCATAGGAGCTGAATAAAGGCACTTTAACATTCAGGCAGGGGGGCAGGTTCCCCTAGCCAGGTCATTATATATATGTACAGTTGTAGACAGCCTCCTTTTAGTGACTAAAAGCGACAAAAAGCAAAGGTTAAAGTAAACAGATCCAGCTGAGTTCAGATTTGAGTCTGGTGTCTATGCTTAGAAGATCAAGCTACTGGCAGTATCAAGGGGAGGTCTATTTTCCTTCCTTTTAAGAATAGTTCAGTCTTCAGGTAGTAAAGAAATTGGTAGAAATAGAAATTCGCTTGAAACTAACCCAGTGATTTATACAATAAATTTATACAATAAATTGTGTAATTTATTAATTACACAAATAATATACAAATGTAATCTTGTAAAAGTTATAATATACCATAAAGTTAAATCTCTTTAATATCCACAATCTCTAGAGTTATCTGCTGTTACTAGATGTGTAACATTCTAGGTCTTTTCCTCTATTTACATACATGTATGTCTCTTGAAACATGTAGCTGTTGTCTTTTTTAAATGATAAAATGTTATACAATTAGCTTGTTTGCAACTTGCTTTTTTTTTCTTTGGTTAAAATAAATCATGGCGTATTTTCCATACCAATGTACAGATTCATCTTCTTTACTGCTGTAGAACATTCCATAGCATGGGAGTTATTTAGTCATACTGATGAACATAGAAGTTGTCATTTCAGTTTCACAGAGGAAGATTTTATTTTCTAAGCCTGTTGTGGTGCACAGGTTTAGTTGCCCAGTGGCGCATGGGATTTAGTTCCCCAACCAGGGACTGAACCTGTGTCCCCTGCTTTGGAAGGCAGATTCCTAACCACTGAGCCACCAGCAAAGTCCCCAAGATTTTGTTTCTCAATAACTGACTATACTTTTGACCACCTATTCAGTAGGGTGAAAGTGAAAGTGAAGTAGCTCTTTGTGACCCCTATGGACTGCAGCCTACCAGGCTCCTCTGTCCATGGGATCTTCCAGGCAACAGTACTGGAGTGGGCTGCCCTTTCCTTCCCCAATTCAGTAGGGTAGACTCTTTCAAACAGAATATGCACTTTAACATTTATTGGCCCTGTGTTGCATGCAGGCATTGTGCTAGGTATTGGGATTCCAGAGATGGGAATGACCTGTCCTTTCCTTCAGAGGTCAATCTGTTGGGAAACAAGTATGTTCAGTGTTGCACACTTATTAAAAACCTATTGAATGACTTTCAGTTCAGTTGCTCAGTCCTGTCCAACTCTTTGCGACCCCATGGACTGCAGCACACCAGGGTTCCCTGTCTATCACCAACTCCTGGAGCTTGCTCAAACTCATGTCCATCAAATCAGTGATGCCATCCAACCATCTCATCTTCTGTCGTCCCCTTCTTCTGCCTTCAAAGTTTCCCAGCATCAGGGTCTTTTCCAATGAGTCGGTTCTTCGCATCAGGTGGCCAAAGTATTGGAGCCTCAGCGGGAGCATCAATCCTTCCAATGAACATTCAGAACAAACTTCCCATAGTTTGGTCCCATAGACTGGTTGGATCTCCTTGCAGTCCAAGGGACTCTCAAGAGTCTTCTCTAACACCACAGTTCAAAAGCACCAATTCTTCAGCAGTCAGCTTTCTTTATAGTCCAACTCTCACATCTACCTGAAGAACCATAGCTTTGACTAGATGGAACTTTGCTGGCAGAGTAATGTCTCTGCTTTTTAATATGCTGTCTAGGTTGGTCATAACTTTTCTACCAAGGAGCAAGCATCTTTTAATTTCATGGCTGCAGTCACCATCTGCAGTGATTTTGAAGCCCCCCAAAATAAAGTCTATCACTGTTTCCATTGTTTCCCCATCTATTTGCCATGAAGTGATGGGACCGGATGCATGATCTTAGTTTTTTGAATGCTGAGTTTTAAGCCAGTTTTTTCACTCTCATCAAGAGCCTCCTTAGTTCTTTGCTTCCTGCCATAAGGGTGGTGTCATCTGCATATCTGAGTTTATTGATATCTCTCTGGGTGGGCTTCTCTTGTAGCTCAGCTGGTAAAGAATCTACCTGCAATGCAGGAGACCTAGGTTCGATCCCTGGGTTGGGAAGATCCCCTGGAGAAAGGAAAAGTTGCCCACTTCAGTATTCTGCCCTGGAGAATTCCGTGGACTGTATAGACCATGGGGTCACAAAGAGTCAGACACGACTGAGCGACTTTCACTTTATTTTACTTCTTCTCCCAACAATCTTGATTCAATCTTGTGCTTCATCCAGCCTGGCATTTCACATGATGTGCTCTGCATATAAGTTAAACAAGTAAGGTGACAATATACATCCTTGATGTACGCCTTTCCCAATTTGGAATCAGTCCTTTGTTCCATATCTGGTTCTAACTGTTGCTTCTTGACCTGCATACAGATTTCTCAGGAGGCAGGTAAGGTGGTCTGGTATTCCCATCTGTTTAAGAATTTCCCACAGATTGTTGTAATCACTGAATGGCTTTACTGGGAGAGTAAGAAAGTCAGTCTGTCCTGCTCCTTATGTGAGCTCCCACTCCCAGAATATCCTCGGTGGGAGCACAGTCTGCAGCAGCTATGCTCCTCGACCTGGATGTCTGTCCCCCTGGGAGGGGCAGCAGGTGCAATTGCTCTGGGGAGTCACCTGTTTTGTTCTCTGACCAGATTGGAGTTTCACAAGAGCAAGGTGTAAAACAGTGGGAAAATTTTAATGTAGAACATTTGACTTAGATGAACCAAGACAGCTGCTTCCCTGGTGGCTCAGACGGTAAAGCATCCACCTGCAATGCAGAAGAACTAGCTTCAATCCCTGGGTTGGGAAGATCCCACCTGCAATGCAGGAGAACTAGCTTCAATCCCTGGGTTGGGAAGATCCCCTGGAGGAGGGCATGGCAACCCACTCCAGTATTCTTGCCTGGAGAATCTCCATGGATAGAGAAGCCTGGCGGGCTACAGTCCATGGGGTCGCAAAGAGTCGGACACGACTGAGTGACTAAGCACAGCACAGCACAAGACAGCTGAATCCACTAGTTCTGCTCCAGAACAACAATAACCTTTGAGGACTACCTCCCCTCCCCTACACTGTGCAGAAGCCCAAGGGAGAAAGCTGCCATCTCACAGAACATGAATAAAATGAACACCTAAGTCAGAGCACATGCATACATTATAAACCATGCATACATTATATAACCATGTCAAGGGCTGAGGCCAATGTCAATTATGGTGAACATCCTGGTCCAGGTGAATTAAAAAAATGTGTTGTCACCCAGTTACCCCATTCTTAGGTATGTATCTATTTGAACAGATTCACTAAG